GCCCAGCCCAGCCCAGCCCGGCCCGGCCCGGCCCGGCCGCCGCCTCCGCTGCTTCCCCGCCAACAACGGGCAGTTTCCAATCGGTGTCTTGATGAAGGGATAACAAGAAGGATATATGTATACACACACACACATATATATCACTTTAAAATATGTAAATAAATATGTGTGTGTTTAAGTGCTGCTGTGTTTAAGTGCCTAAATTCCACTGCCAAAATTTCAAAATTTGAGCATTCCTGAGGTAAAGCTCCTAGAGAACAGTCCCAGGGCTCACTGCCAGTGCTCGTCCCCCGCTGCGGCCGGGCGCAGCCGGTGCCCTCCACGCTCCCCCTTGGCCCTGCGTTATTTCCCCCCCGGATGGGAGGCCTGTGAGTTTGCCTCTCTATCCCTACAGCTAAACCTGCCCTGCAATGATGGCACTGGTGAAACGTGCCGCAGGACGGGGCAGCAGCGTGAAGAACACGCACYGAGTCCTTGCAGCCCCTCGTTCACCCGTTCGGGCCCTCTCGCCAGCTCTGCTGAGCTGCTGGGTTTGGACCTGTGGGACATGACGAGGACACGTCACAGCAGAAATAGCAGGGCAGGATCAAGGTCATTTAGTTTCTTTCCCTTCTTTTATGGCACGCTAACGCTGTTTCTAGAACTACTTTGTATCTAAAATGCTTGTGTTACACAGTAATAACAACAAAACACCTCTAACAAAGCTAATTATAGAATCACAGAATAGCTGAGGTTGGAAGAGACCTCCAGAGATCATCTAGTCCAACCCCCTGCTCCAGCAGGGACACCCAGAGCACAGGGCACAGGGTGGCATCCAGGTGGGTTTGGAAAATCTCCAGAGAAGGAGAGTCCACAGCCTCCCTGGGCAGCCTGTGCCAGTGCTCTGTCACCCTCACTGTCAAGGAATGTTTCCTTCAGCTCCTATGGAACTTTTGATGCTTCCGTTTCTGGCCGTTTCCTCTAGTTCTGTCAGTGTCCACCACTGAAAAGAGGCYGCCCCCTCCTCCTCACTGCCTCCCTTGAGGTATTTTTAGACACTGATCAGGTCCCCCCTCAGCCTTCTCTTCTCCAGGCTGAACAGACCCAGCTCCCTCAGCCTTTCCTCATATGGCAGATGTTCCAGGCCCCTGATCATCCTGGTAGCCCTGCGCTGGACTCTCTCCAGCAGCTCAACATCCCTCTTGTACTGGGGAGCCCAGAACTGGACACAGTCTCCAGATGTGGCCTCACCAGGGCTGAGCAGAGGGGGACGATCACCTCCCTCGACCTGCTGCAGACTCTTAATGCACCCCAGGATTCCAATGGCCTTCCTGGCCACCAGGCCACAACCGCTGCCTCATGGTCAGCTTGTCATCCAAATGTTCCCCTCCTTGTCATATTTCATCAGTTCAGGTTCTTAGGACTTATTTTTTTAATGACAGTTTCTCACCATTACATCTCACATGGGAATTGTGTGGTTCAGGCTTTCCGCTTAGCAGGTTATCTTCACTGTTTCTGCTTCACTTTATACAGTTCCTGAGGTCCTGAAGCTTGGAGCTGTTTTAGTCTAAATCTTTGAACAGAATTTGAATTGGTGGTGTCAGAAAAAAACCTGCATATCACTAAAAATAAGATTTGTACTTCATYTTTGGCCTTTGTGGTGTYGATGTAGTGACRGGGTCCYTATGTGCAGCTTCACTTGTGGCTTTGGGATTGTCTCTCTTTTAGCATTGCTGACAAAAATAGGATTTACTGCTGAACTGTGGCTAAGGAAACTCGTTTTCATTAGTATTTTAGTTAATATTCTCACATCTCCATTGTCAGCTAGAGGGACACCTGCAGGTCAACACTGATTCCTAAGGCCACAACATTCTCGCTGTGCATTTAAATTTACTGTTGATTACCTGAACTTTTACTTCAGTTAATAAAAAATGTATTTAATTGATAAAAAAACATAAAGGAGGTCTGCCAGTTGGGCAAGATCTCGCTACATGAAAAGTAATCAGTTATTTACCATTGCCAATTTATAGATTTCAACAACATGGCAAATACTTGTCCTTTTCTGTTAGCTGCACATAAAAGATGACTTGGGGCTATCAATTAATGCTTTTTTTTTTTTTTATGATATTTTCCTCTGAGGTAGGCATTTCTGTCTGCCATGTGCTTCTACACTGCCTAGAGCTGCTTTCGTGAACCCTGCTGCTGAACTTGGCCCCGYTTGTTCACTGGTGTCTCCTGGCAAGAGCGCAGGTTATGGAGAAGAGCTGCCTATGGAGCTAGCCAGGCCACCTAAGAAAAAGGATGAAACGTTTTCATAACTGTCCACAAACAGTTTGTACCATACCTGGAACTCTGGTCTTTAGTATAGTATATTTAATAGTCTATTCAAAATGCATCGTTGGTTTGATCTCACACATTTGTCTAATYTAAAGCTCTAACGCTATGTGGGGAAGAACTTACAGCAGAAGGTAGAAAAATGTGTCAATACTGGCTGTGTATGAAGGGGAAGTTACTTCATCTAGATAGCTAACACTTTTCTTTATATAATGAATAAACATTATATACCTCATAAAGGTCTTCATCCTGATGGTTTTATGTAACATACATATGGAATGGGAAATGGAAATGGAATAGGAAATTCAAGTGGCTGCTAGTTGATGCCTCATAAAGGTATAATGGTTGGAAGGGCAGCCACAAACTCCGCAGACAGATGGATAGAAAATATAGGGATTCAATGGGATCGTTTTCAAAATAATTATTTCTTGTTTTAATTGCAGAAAGCAAATGTTTCTGCTATAACATTCATGTAGTTTTGTCAATACATAAAAATGCAAATATTTACATTTTAAAAATATTAAATATTCAATTATTGTTAATAGTAATTAAACATTGTAATATTTACTGTAAAATGGTAAATATTTAAGTACTTACTGACAAATTTATATCACACTGCTCTTTATATACACCCCCAAGATGATGATGACACTACGTGGACGGCCATGCCTAAGCACATCCAGGTAGGTACCAGGACTGACTGCAGTGGTCAAAGAAGTGATAATGCTAATGTCTAAGGTTTTTTTTTGTTTTCTTTTTCCCAGAGATTATTTTATGAATAAACTTGATCTGGTAATTGAGCAGATGGTGCAATAGCCAAAATAGAGCCATTTCAGCAGTGCTCACTGCTTGCAGAAAAGCACCTGGGCTCATAAGCAGGCCTCTTTTTAGTGGGAAGATGAATCATGTTTATGCAGTTACAGGTCTTATGAAAAGCCCTGAGAGAGCCCCCACCATCTATTTTTTTTTGCAGTAGTTTGTGGTGGATATTGGCTCGTGCTTGGAGGAAAATATGACTCTCCTGAATTCTGTGTTTGCAGTGCAGAAGCTCTATCTGGGTATCRTAACTATTGTCCTGCTTATGTTCTATGTATTTAGATTTTCCTGCAAACGACCAAAAAAGGGAACTGTGGCATAATTCAAAGCGTAAAGCTAAAGACAAATATGTATCAAAAACCTTGTCAGAATCCTATTTCACTACAGAAAGGTGCTTTGTAAAGATCAAGACCTGCATAATTTAAAATGACACTGTCCTGCCAGCAGTTTGCTTTAGCATTTCGCCACTGAGATGTAAAGGAAGGATTTTATTTAGTCCATTACTGTACTTTAAGCAAGTTTTTATGAACTCTCTATATTGCTTCAGGTTGTTATATATTTGGACAATAGTATTTTTACTTGTGTATTTTTAAAGCTGACTGACAGTGTGTCATCGCAGGAAGTCAGAACTTCACTTGTTCCTTTGCCCTTCTGCAAAGAGTGACAGAAAACCCAYGTCCTGCAGCAATCCGGGGCATCCACCGCCTCCTCTCAGTGCGTATCCCGTGCTTTACTCCTCCCGTAACAGGCCTGGAGGGCAAAYTGATACCACATTTCACATCTTCACTAGCTCCTCTGCGTCTTTCAGGGTTCCCTATCTGGCTGATATCCAGCTGACCTGCAGCAGTAATGGAGAGGGGAAATATCATTATATATACATACATATATAGATAGATACATCTCAGTATCACTATGTTGTCTAAGCCAGAGCAGGTTAGGCAGTCTGCACGGTTTTTAGTAACTAGTTACCGCTATGTCTGTGGTTGAGCTCCCTCCTGACCACCCCTGTGAGCATGGCTTTGGGCTGCTTCATGTGAGCTGGGAAAGAGGAGCAGGAGGGAGATGTGGAACATCTAGGGAGGCTCCAGGCGAGAGCAACAAAGACGACTAAGAGACTGGCGCCTCCCTCGTATGGGGAGAGAGTGAGTGAGCTGGGCCTGCTTGGCCTGGAGAAGGCGGAGAGGGGATCTGATCAATATGTGTGAGTACCCGAAGGGTGAATGGAGGGAGGAAGGGGCCAAGCTCTTCTCAGCGGTGGCCAGTGACAGGACAAGGGGCCAGGGGTATAAGCTGAAACACAGGACATTCCATGTGTCTCCACGTGTTCTCCACCTCTCCATAGGTCCCCCAGCTAATCGGGCACAGGACTGAATATATCCTAAAAATGTCTGTCGTCAGTCTTAAGGCTCCACTACAGTAAGTCTAAGATGTAATGAGACAGAACGGAATTAGTTTAAGTAATAAATGTTTAATCAAAGAATTTTACATATTATTAACAGCATTCATTTGGCCAAACATCTACATGGTTGTAGTATCCTACTTGTATATAAAGTGGGAATGTATCAAGTATAGACTATGAAAGTGCAAATAACAATTCAAGGTTAGATTAAGTTTTTTTTTTACATTATAAAATTAACAGGTTTACAAAATAGTCTTGCCAAACTTTATTTTTGAATTGTAAAGTCAATGAGTATGGTGTTAAAATAAGTACCAAGAAAATACAAATCGAATAGGGTCATTTCATGCTCATTAAGAGTAACACGGAAACAATGGATCTACTGCACAACCGAACCAAACTACAGGAACCCAGAACCCACAAACGTCACTATCTTCACAGAGAGCACCCTACACATCTGACCGTAGCTTTGCGAGACGCTTCGACGCGATACACACGACCACTGTGAGAATCGTTCCCTTCGGAAGCTACAATCCAAGGAAGCTATGGGAGTTAAACCACTTTCAGACCAATTCATGATGACAGTTCAATGAAGAACTGTTTTGGATTATTTTATACCASTGAACGAGTAAAAATAGGCATTCTTCAAACATGTCCAAGAGTTCATGATTATGCTGAGAACCGGGTGGCTAGAGGAAAAGTTGGAGAATGGTTGGAGACTATTCTATTCCATTGTCCCTAAAGATGCTTGCAAAATGACCTAGTCTTTTATGGGCTGAGGGTAAAATATTCTTACTTCATTTTTCACTAATATGAACCCCGTGGCTGCAGGGTTCAAAAGCAGGATCTGCGTGAACCAGTTACCAAAACACTCACTTGAACTCACAGTAACCAATACACAGACTTCGCTATCATGACACTTGCCTATACACACTCAGTAGTAATAAACTTTTATACCATATCAACAAATCTCTGGTAACAGTTAAGCAAAACTTAAAATGGAGTGTACATAATTTGCTTGTATTATGACAGGTTTTGATTATATGTAATTAAAACAGCCATTTCAACAACTTACTGTAGTTGTAATTATGTACTGTACCATTGTATCTCACTAACTGTAGACTGATGCTTTTAAGCAATTCTAAAACCAGTATTTATTTTTTTTTAATTATTTTTTTTCCACAGTACAACAACTAGGAAGAGGGTGTTTTTTTTGTTGTTTTTACACTAAACAGTAATCACACAGCAAATGAATATTGTGCAATTGAACAGATACCTAGCAGTGTTTTGTTTATGCAAAAACACTGACTGAACATTGAGTTATTTACTGTAAAGGCAAGGCCATGGGTGGTTTTATGGAGGTCTTTGCAATTAATAGCATAGTTACTCCAGAACAGACACTGAATTTGACTTACTTGTTTAACTGTGGCAACTATCCAGTTGGGTTAGGCAAAGGCACCGTAACATGTTGAGCAAACTGTGTTATCTGAACTGTGGGAGTGGCTAATATACGAAAATTCGGTCTTCCTATATTTTTTATAAAATGTTATCATTAAAAGTAATTGCACTATTAGTGCATAGAATGCTTTGTAGAATTATGAAAACAGAGCTATGATTGCACTTCCATTAAAGTGTCTCTTAAAATACAGCATAGCTGTTGCTAACTAACTGTATTTTAATATTTAAAATAACTGTTTAACAGCAGCATTAGGTTTCATTAACATAAGAGAGAGGCTACATTTAATTAAATGCAGTCACCATGGCAGCAGATGCCAGTTCAATTTAGAGAAGCAATGCTACCCAGTGGTTTCTGTCACTACTAAAAACGGTGGGATTACTTTGATGGAGTAACACTGCACGGTTTCATTAGGCTAGAGCCAGCTCACTACTCACAGTTTGGCACATGTGGACTGTAAATAGACATGGAAAAGTCTTTGATTTTYAGGTGAAAGCAAATCCTCTCTAACTGGTTTCTGGAGCAGTACTAAAGAGAAGCACTGAACACCTCAGTTCACACTGCTAACGAAAAGGAAGAATGAGTAAAGTGAAGTTGCGGAAAACAAAAACAAAATGCAAACAAATTACTAAATATTATTTTGATGAAAGAATCAGTTCCAAAAAAAAAAAAAAAAAAAAAGGAATAAACTATTTCTTAGGAAAAACAAACAAAATAATCAGTGTAAGCCTTTAATCCATACTTTCAAGTTAAGGATCATCAACCTAAGGCTAAACAGATGCTGCATTGTATTAGGAATGTGGAGTAGAGCCTACGTATTCCTTTTTCTCGCGAGCGACAAGGCAAGTCCTACCTAACTAAATGCAAGGGATATTCCGGGAGGTTCCCAGTGGCGGGAGCGGCGGCAGCCCGAGGCAGCTCCAGGCGGCCGCGCTGCSCTCGGCGGCGCCGGGTTCTGGGATCGCAGCCTCCGCGGCGCTCGCTCCGGCGCCTCTCCCATTCCCCGCCGCTTGCTCCGGGCTCCGCTCGCGCTCACACCAGGTGCACGTGCTCAATCCATTCACCGGAGGTCTGGGCGATCTGGCTCGAGGCATCTTCCGAGGCACCCGCGGCGCTCGCTGCGTCCCTGGCACGGTCTCCACCTTGGGATGCTGTCTCACCCGGGATAAGGTTTTCTTCCAAAGTACCCTCCTCTGTTTGGGTTCCTCTGCCCTCGTTTTTGAGTGCATCCTCAAAGAGTGCATGCTCCTCCGGGGGCTCCAGGCCTATGTCTATGAGATTTGGTTGCCCTGCTGACCCACCTTCAGCGCTGGGCTGCTGCGAATCCTCCTCGGTCTCCGTACTGGCTGAGGGGATCAGAGCAATGCTCTGCGGGTTCATGTCATGAAACCAGGCCATAATATTGCCGAGAAGATTTTCGTTGGCGTTGGGATCCTGGCTGCTGGAATCCACGTCGCTGGATGCCGAGTACAAGCCGCTTCTCGCGTCGCTGCACGGGTGYGCGTGAAGGCGCTCGGCTGCGAAGGGGTCGCTGCCTGCCCCCARTCTCATGAGGCTGTCACCCAGTTCCAGCAGCTCCGAGCTGCTCAACGCCGAGCGCGGGTTGTCTATACTCATGGGAGCAGAGTCCAGCCTGGTGGGCAAGGAAGTACCTATTGCTCCTAGGGAGGCCTCGTTGTTGAGAAAGTCTCTAGTTTCTTCGTCTATGGCCAAGCCAGATTCTTGCAGTGATAACTGAATAGCTAGCAGGATGTTTGGGTCATCTTCGTCTAGAGAACTCAGAGCCTGTGGAAACACAAGAGGGTGACATTCAGAATAAAACAAAGAGAAATCTGGCCTCAAATCTGAAATTCATTAATTACTGCCACATGTCGTTTATCAGAATCAGTGTTTACCACCTCAGTACTCTATAGTTGCCATTGGCATTTAAAAGCTTCCTATGGTGACATTAGCAATTGTTTCGCAGAGCTTACCAGTGTGAACGGACCATTTTCTTGTCCTAGATTCTCCCTTTCTCATCGAAGAATTAGGAGAATTCGCAGAGAAACAAAACGATACAGAAAAGCACAGCACAGGAAGGCAAGCAAAGCAGAGGGAATGGAAAAGAGATTAGGGGAGATACCTGCAGAGAATCCTGATTCTCAGAGCGACTGACAGGGGTATAGTCATGAAGCGAAGAGCTGTGCAGAATACCCATAGAGGCTGAACTCACCATGGAGGTGCCGTGTCTTCTACTGCTGCCACCTTCTTGGGTGTCTGTTTAGGCAATTGAAACAAAAGCATTTAAAGAACTAGTCAGAAAAGCCTTTGTAACCTCTCTACTTCTCTTCTTGCTTTGGATTCCAGCTGCGCCTTCCTTTATTCCTTCCTATATGTGGATTCCTTTATTCACTCTGAAATAAATAACCTAGAACATTCTTTCCACAYCACCTCTTGCACAGCAATAAAATGCCAGTTCTACTGTTTTAGGAGGGACTGTCTGGTTCATTTGTGCTTTTCTGCTCTCAGCAGCACTCTGCCCCTTGAAAGGAAGGCACATGCCATCGTTAGCACAAGCCCATGGGAAAACGAGCAAAATGCTTCTAAGGGACAAAAATGAGTCATGGAAAAATCTGAAAAATATTCCACGTGGCCTTCCTGCCCCACTTGCATTCTGGATCTCCCTCCCTTATTCTGTTGTTCATTGTGATCTGGCTCTTTATGGCAAATGCTGCCAGAATGTCCTCAGTGAGTGGGAGAGCTTGGATTGTCCCTCTGGGCTGAGTTGTGACCTTCTGTCCTCAAGAATGGCCAATTTTCAGTGCCATTCTTCTATTAGTTACACTGTTGTACAAGATTCAATGGGAATTCAGTGTGAATTAGACCGTAAGATTCACTCAAGACATATGGGCTGCATTTACAGGTGGCTTAAAACCAAATTCAGCCCATTTTGCTGTTTTTGCAAAGGCAGCTCAGCTGTAACACCACTGTAACATCGCAGCACAACTAGGAGTCACTCATGTATGTCTTGGCAATGAATGGCAGTACTGTCCTCTTACAAACCCAGCAAAACAAGTAAAATGTCGTTTCCAGAAGAACTTACTCTGTAATAAAAGGAAATGTAATCCTTCTGACTTTAATATGTTTATGGGTTGTTTATGGCTTGTCCTGGCGAAGGCAGGAGTTTCTGAGCAGCGTTTGGGAGGGCAGCTCTACGACAACCTTCCAGTGTGAAGCTTGAGCTTCAGCTGCTCTGTGAAAACTTGTCACAAACTTTCTTCAGGAAGGTAAATCAGCTCTGAGGAGCACTTCGTAGGGAAGATAAATGCATTTCTCCTTAAAAGGAGCAGCCACAATTAAGCCAGCAACATGAACATACCCGTAAGTGGAAGAATAATGCTGGAGAACCTAGCAAAGTATTTGAAACTTCAATATATCCACAGAAGAACCACCACGGTGGATTCTGCTGGCGAAGTGCAACGGCAGCAAGAGGGCAGGAGACCCAGCGTGGTGCAGGGACTTACCCAGGGTGCTCTGATCACTGGGGTCATCCGGGTCCGGAGTGTTGCTGAGCAGGCTGTGCACGTCGCCGCGCCGCCGCTGCCTGTGCCGCCTCCGATACTGAAATTCAGCATATTCCTGCATAAACCAAAGGTTACAAAACACAGGGCAGCATGCAGGAATATTTTTCTGATGCAACGAGCTCCACATTTTGGTAAAAAAAAAAAAAAAAAAAAAAAAGGTGTGATTTTATAGGTTTATTATAAAATCACCTGTTCTCAGAAAAATAAATTGCAGGTTATAACATGCAATGCATTAAAAAAAGATACCAGGTAACACTAAATCTATAAAATGATAAGCTAGCAAATAAAATTCCTTGAGGTACTGCTGATATTTTAATACTTGCAATCTCCCTTTTTATAAATATTTTTTTTGCTTAAAGCTTTGATACCCAGCTTTGCACACATATTCACACACACACTTCTTTATCAATACATAGCTAGTAATTTTAGAAAATAAAAAGAATTTTATCTTTTTCAGACCATCTCAGGGGCTTGTGGCCACCAAGGCCAGTAGAAAATACCAAGGGAAGGCTACAGAAACTGGGTGGATCAATACTGGTAACTTGCAAWACTTTCCCCAGCCCAGCAATACTTTTCACCCAGAGGACATGAGAAGTTCCTAGAGGCTCAGGAACTTCTCAGGTAGCTCAGGATCCCCTTCTGCTGATGAGTCTTGGATGGATTTTTCTTTGATGAATTACAAGTCTCCTCTTTATTTTTGCCTAATGAAAGTTGCTAATGAGCCACACCACAGAGATCTGAACCCCTGCAGACTGTCATTTTTCATGCTGTGAATATTGACCARGGACATTTTACTTGTCTTATCTGTAGCAAAGACTCAGTTTTGACTATGTCAGACTGCATCTCTCCCAAGGGTTTATTGTCTTAATACCTGCATATAAATATTTCCTACTTTAGCTGACATTAAGAGGCTGATTCTACTCCTGAAGGCCAATTTGGTGCTTTCCAGATGTAATTTTTGATGAATACAGTTGACACTGAGTCTGCCTACGTGGGCAAGATCTTTTGTTAATCTAAGTTATTTATTTATACAAGGCAATAAATATATATTGGCAGGTGCTAGCTCTTCGGAGAAGAATACTTATAGTTTCGTCCCTAAGCCACAGGTTGGGAGATCTGTAATGCAGGACTTCCTCTAGCCAAATATCTCGTGAAAACAGCATCACCATTAACATGCCTTTTGTATATCAACTATATATACATTTTCTCTGCACACTTCAACATSCAAAAAAAACCTAGAATTGAATCATTAAGTGTAATTTCTCATACACCATGACCTTATTAATTCTAAGGGCATTATTCTTGCATGTTTTCTTTCTTTGAAGTTTTTCAAACCAACTTCTCATTCATTATGACATATGCAAGCCAAAAACCRAAAGATGTCACAAAATGATCAGTATGAGCAGATTCTTATCTACATAAGATGCATGAAAATTTTAAGAACATCAAAATCACTGTGCTTGATCAGTCAAAAGGTTCATTTAGCCCCRGGTTCTCTCTCTAGCAGCAGCAGTGGGTGGTTGTTGGCCTAGGGACCAGCATAAAAATGGGACAAGCGTGAAGTGAAGGACGCTTTGGGATTCCTAGTCTGAAGGTTACTATTATTTTGTGTTGTTCCTAACCTCCTGCACCCTCCAATCTTGGCATGCAACCAGCTAACTGAATTAGTTAAAGAATTATTATATCACTAGGAGTCAGATAAGGAATGAACAAAAATTGAACACTAAAATTTATAAATCATCGGATCTTGTTTTTCATGTTTTCATTTCTTCTTCACAGTAAAATCACAGATTCTACCTGTAGCCATTTGGCTGCTTTTTTTATGCTTTAAATAGTCATCYTGAATAGTAGTGAAACAATTTTATTTTTGATCACTTGGAAAGATTTTATGTATTTGAGCATACCAAGTTTTAATTTTATGGGGTAGAAATATAGAAATTTCTCACAATCACCTCTAACCAGCGTTGCTCTCTGCTGAAAAAGAACCAGTACGGTTTTGTTTTCTGTGACCATCCAGTACACACAGATGTGCTACTACCTGTCAGTAAAAGTAGAACTTTATTTCAAAATTCTGCAGGGCAGTTCTCTAAAAAGAGGCAGAGATGATGCTAATGCTACAGAATTCCTTTAGCACAGGTGGTTGCAAGTATCTTGGACAAGGATGCAGCAAAGAAGCAGACCTGCATCAGGCAAGGCTCACTTAGGCAAACCATACAGACTCACAAGCCATCACTCAGCACGACCTACTGCTGAGGAGCTCCTCAGCACACTGCTCATCTGCTTTTGCTCAGAACCAGCTCCACGGAGGACACAGTAACACCACATTTCAATAKTACCAAACACCAACTTATTTAAAAATGAAAGACTAAAGGAACCAAATAGGAGAAGCAAGTTGATTTTTGCAGAGAAGCAAGCTAGTTTCTCTCCAGCATGACGATGCTAGCCAACAAGAGCAAAGGAAATATATAGAACACAGAGTGCATGAAGTTTTCCAGGTTCTTTCAAAATAACTAGGTAGAAAGAAAGCAGCAACAAGGAAATCTTGAGAATTTCCTTCCTAACTGTGTGCTTTAATCTAATGATTTCAAAATATTAAATAAATATTAAGCTGTAAAGTAATGCTTCATAGGAAGCATCTCCTACCTCAGTGCTTTCTTCAAAATTATACAGTCTTTTCCTCTATAAAGATTGTAGAATATTCATTTAAATTTTTTTTCATTTTCATAATGACAATTTTTATTTGTGGTTTAGCTAGCAGAAATTCATCTGATACATATACTTGTTTTCCATGCCATTTTAATACATAAAATTAAAAAAAATCAACTGGTTAACAATATTTAATTGTATGCCTGTACGGTTTTGTTGAACTGTTCTGAAAGGATGGAAATTTCTTCTTCTTTTATCAAATTCTGCTGGATTTATGTTGCATTCAGAAGTAATCTACAGTTTCATACATTTATTACTTTAAAATTCCTCAGCACACAGACACCAGCTGATACACAAGGCTAAAACAGCTTATTAAGCTGGAAAATATTTAATAAAATGTAGCTCACCTAATATCATCCCAAATAACTATATTCATATTAGAATCATTGTTCATGGTATCTGCAAAATTAGCTATGCATATATTTCCTTTTATTGTGAAATAAACAGAACAGCTTGAACCAAACTTGGCCAACTTGATATGCTTTGAAACAAAACAAGGAAGCTCTTCATGCAGATTATGATCATACCTATGTTTCTATGCAGGACTGCATTAAAAAATAAAATAAATATATAGTTTACCTCAGGCGATGCAAATCCTAAATACTCCCAATCCCATGTTCCACCAGCAAAGCTATAAAATTAAAGGAGATGTACTGTAAAATTTAGAAGCAGAATAAAGAACAAACAACCTACACAACTCCAAAAAAATCAACCTATAAAAAGCAGTGTAATTGCAAGCCTCTTACATTAACAAGTCTTCTGCTCATTAAGGAAACCATACAATTAAATTGTTGGCAATTCCAGAGCTGCTTGAGATATTTARCAAGATCTTCTGAGCATGCCAGGCATTTAGTGGCCATCTTAGAGCAGAAAGGATGTATGGAAGCCGTAAAATCTCCTCATTAGTATATCACAAAAGGGGAATGTTTCCCCAATGCATATGGGGAAGCTGCCACATCCACAGCAGTGACTGGCAAACACTCAGCTCGCACCATTTGGATGCCTGAAGTCAAAACACAGGGGCAAGGCCAGCAAGGTTTCAAATTATGGCTGTGTAMGGGGCCCCTGGTAGAAGTGCTCTGTCCTAAGGGGTCCCACACACTTGCTGCCCTGAGGGGACAGCAGGACAGGCCATATAAGGAACCCGGTGATATAAATTCTTTATCATAAACTAGTAACAGTGGAGTTTGCAAGCTGATATATACGACATATATGAAAGAAAAGTGAGAGTCAGTTTTAGGTTTTTAACTTTGTCACCATGAAAGTTGGAACTGTGATTSCGTGTTAAGTCCTGTCCAACCATACCCAGACTAGTATCAGCTTCAGGTGGTCTAAATACAGCTGCAACAAGTAGTAGTGAAACACTGCTGCTCAACTGGTTCCACTTTACTGTTGTTTAAACTATTTTTTTTTAACTTACAGGATGATTTAAAATCACACTTCTTGGTAGTTGACCAGGTACCAGACTGATTTATACCACGAAGCTGATTCTGTAAGCACCCAGGCAGAGAAAACTATAATCCCAGCCTCTCTAAACTACGAGGGCCCCTGTGTGCACAAAGACCCTTCTTGTCTTTGGCTTAGCTGCAGTTTTAAAAGCCAGCAGAGGTTTCTCATTTGTGCTTTCATCAGCAAAGGGAGGTTGATTAACAGCATTTGATCCACATCTGATCCACACGGCTCAACTGACCAAGGAAACGTCCCTCTGGTGACCTACAGCCACCAAATTTAGCAGCTCCACTTTTCCTCGCTGTCAAAGGACRAGGGTGCGTGGGTGGATTCACCCACTTTGGCACCTTTCAAATGGGCTTTGTGGAGTTGCACACTCTTGTCTGGATTACCTGCGCCTTGGGGCTTCTGGAGAGTCAGCGGGAGCAACACCACGGGCCACAGAGGCTAAAAATTCCTGCCGCTTCTGCTGCACCAGACAAGCCGCCCGGATGATCTTATGGCGAGGAGTCCGAAGGTAAGGCCTGTTCACTTTCTGTGCAAGGTCTTCAGTGACCATTTCTAAGTCTGTCTGCAAGAGGAATAAGTAAAAATAACATACTTTGACAATGAAATTAACACCAGGCAGAACTCCACCACAAGCACTCAACTGAAGGACTTCCATTTTCCTGAAAATACCATCAGGCCAGAGGCCCAAGAGACACCAACCCTCAAATAATTGTTACTACTGGAATTAATACAGCTACAGCAATGACATCCTGAAAACCTGTTTCACAGGCTGACCTGAAAAAGTTTGTTTTCTGCTWCTCCCTCTGTTCCTTCTTCCACGTGAAGTTGGCTGGAGGCAGGAATCACCTTTTCATTTAGTGCTTTGTCTAACACAACAGTGTTGATTCTCCAGGGAGTCTTTGAGCTGGCTAATGCCTACACCAGGCCCTGAAGAGCTCAGCGTGTCCCTAGAAGGCCCTGCAACCTTCTGTCTTGCCTCATCCTCCCCATGACAGCTGGACTTTGGCTCCATCCTATGATCTAYGGAGCTGCACACGCAACTCCTGCTCTCTGCACTCYAGCTGCCCAGTCCCCTYGGGTGTAAAAAGCCACCTTGTCCATTCCTCACCCCAAAACACCTGTCCTTTTAGCCCACACCTCTACCAACCTGCCCTCCTGCTTGCAGGCTAAAATGGCACAAAGCCAATATGGATAACTAATACCACCAATAAAAGGGTAATATTGAAATAAAATATATGTATTATTACCTGCATAAGTTCAAATATTTCTTTCTTTGTGCTTTTAGGCTCCAAGAAGAATCCATACGGATAAGAACACTTGAGAATGCGGCGAGTTTTCAGAAGCTCTTGCACAGCATCTTCAATGAACGTGGTGTCAGGACAGCCTCCCTCAGCTGCAAGGTGATACGAGCACCGTGAGAATCTTTTCCTGCTGATGTCAACATTTCTTTACTTTTGGAGTTTTCCTCCAAAACAGTAAAATTTATATGCATGACAGTTAAATATTTGCAAGTAAACAACAGCAAGCTCTAAATGATTATACAGTATTCTTATAATTAGAAATAATCACATAATATTAGTTCCTCTCTTATTAATGCTGTTTTTTTTCCCTCTGTCTTTGGATACATAAAATTTACCCTAAAATTAATTTTTATCCATGACCTATGATTTCCCGTGCTGGAGAGATCACATCACACAGCAGACTGAAACTGCCTCTCTTCAAAAGAGAGATTAGAATAAAGCAGATTTGGTTTGATTTCAAAACAAATTCACAGATTATAGCAAACACGAACAAATTCTACATACTTCCACTGAGAGCTCTACTCAACTGCTCCATCTTTTCTTTGGCTGTTTTTAGAAGGCGCTGTTCTAACTGAAAGAAGAAAATGAAAGAAACACAGTTAGTTCCTTATTTGGGGATGAATGAAAAGGAAACAGAAATTAATAAAAATGGTTTAACCCTCACCTGGTAGCTAAGTTCATGGTTCTTAAACCTTGTGTAATAGTGCATAAATCTATCAAGCTCTTGAAATCTTCTATGTTTCTTTTCCGCCTAGAAAATAAGAGGTGGGCACAAAACAAACTAAGATAAATCTTAAGGTTTAAATTAATAAAAAACATTACATATAAATTCATAATTAATGCATCTATTTCCACGATACATAAAGCATTACGTACAATGCTGATGAGTGCCATGACAAAACAGACAAAGCAATTTTATTTARAAAAAACTATGCAATAGCTCTATAGCTACAGAGTTGATGTGCTGTGCATGCAGGCCATCCGACCTTTCAAATACCAAGGTTAAAACAAGTCTTCTGTAGGACACAGTAGCTAATTAAAGCCTCAGCACACCCCTCCTACAGAAGGGGACCAAGGCATAGAGAAATAAACTGACTTGTCTGAAATCAGCTAGTAGTTGTTAAAAAAGCCAGCAAACCAATCTTATGCAGTTACCCACAAATAAGCAATATTTTCTTTCCATCTCTTCAGTTTGTTCAAATGTATAYTTTCCCATTTAAAATTCTGAAATTTTATGAAACCCATCTTAAATAGAAAATTGTGGCCTTCATGCTGTTTTTTAGATAAATATTTTCATCTGTTACCTCTACTGTCATCTCTTTGGACTGCTCTTCTACGTGTTGAATAACTTCATAGCGAGTGCATCTGTAATAGCCTCCAGTGGAAGAGCTGTGCTTCTTCCATTCTTCTAAGCATATCCAGCAAAAGTCATATTTGCACTTCAGAGGAGAAAGAACAAGCAAAAAAAGAAGCTGTTATGTTGTACATTTGCACTTATGCATCATTACTCCACCATAAACAAGTGGTGGAATCATCTGCAATGTGTTTAGAGCAAAAATAAAATGTCTGACGAGTCTCCTTCCTGCTYTACATACTACTGAAGATCTGTGGTATCAGATCTTCTTCTTATGACTACCTCAGTCATAATTTTTGTTCCTTGGATCACATGATTGTGTTGGATCTACAAGTTAAATTTCAAGTGGGTGGAATAAATCAAATGATAAATACATCTGGTTAGGCCTGTTTGGGGTAGAGGGTTAAAAAGAAGGCAGCCCTGTTGTTTAAGTGACACAGAAACCATTCATGAGAAAGGGCTGGCTTAAAAGAAATTTCCTACCTTTAAAGAGAAATTTGAAATCATCAATAATTTCCATGTTTTCGAAATGAAATAAATAATTTATACAAGAATATGCACTTAAATGTAAAATGTTCAAAGCTAAAACAAAACATTTCTATTAGCAGAATGCAATGCTTCAACTGACCTGAAGTTTGTCCGGCTGTTGGTTCATGAAAAATGTTCTAGATTTTGACTTTCCAATTTGGAAAGCAGTATTTTTTCAGAATCTTAAGTACTCTCAGGGATGAACAGTTTTCCACTCAATTCTAGTGCTGTCTGTACTGAGATCAGTATCAGCAGCTCAAGAGAAATCCTTTTTGAGATCTGCCTGCTTCCAGCTGCAGGACTGCTGATATCTTTGCAGCACAGTGAACGTGAAAGAAGTGGTATGAGYTAGTATCTGCTGTTGGGTAGAAAGGGCCCTTGAAAAATGCCCAACTAACTTTATCTATGAAATAACTAGCAACACATACTCTGAAGAAGTGATAAAATTTAGGTCAAATCTCCATCTATTTCCATTACAATTGTTATTGGAATTCAACAAATTAAGCCACATCATTCCTCTCTCAGATAAATTTAACCTGATAACCTTTCCAGGAATCCAGGAATCCAAAATGTGTTCACCAGTAGTTGCTCCATTCATTTAATTAGATACATTACAGGAACAAATGAAATCTAATTCTTTGATTGTATTTCTGCAAGTTTCACCTCACCAGTGATGCTGCTTTTAKTTATTTATTTTTTCTTTAAAAAGAAATTCAGATTAAGGATATTTCTTCTAGCTAACGTCTTGCTAGCTCATTTCTTTGTTCTTAAACATTTTTTGAGTCGCTTGCTTATACAAAACAGTAGCGTAAGAATAATCATGCGTATTGAGTGTGTATCGTTGTGTAGTCTACCTATCATGCAAAATCACTTATCACATAATCACCTTCAGAGAAGAATCAGAGGAAAAACAAGTTGCTTCTTGAGCCACAAAACTACTAGAGCTTCATTTCCTATGAATTCATGCCTCATGCTCCTACTGCAATATTCCCACCCTGGCCACTTTATCTCCCTCAGAAGCATTTCACCCGATCTTCTAACCTCTCACACATCTCCAACAGCCTCCTCTGTAACTCAACATTCACCCGCATTGACCCCAACACCAGATCCTCCTCAGTACCTCCAGCTTCCCCACTCCCATTGAGCATCCAAAAATGCATCTATTTAAGAGCATCTTCTCCCCAAACCCTAAGCTCTGTTTTACATCCCCTACCGGGTTCCTGGCTTAGCTCCCAAACCACACGGATGCTGTGGGGCCACTGACGGAGCCAAGGAGCAGAGGTGGCTGCTCGGTGGGTATTTCAGCCTCTCTTGGCAGGTGGGACCCCTCAGGTGTCTGCACCATGCAGCTCTGAGTCTCACGATGCTCTGAAGCCTCTCCTGCTCTTTTGCATCTCCTTCAAAGCACCCGGAAGGCTGAAACCTGCTGCAGTTGGGGAGGTGAGAGACACAGCAGGGCTGCACAAGCCTCGTTTCCTTGGAAACCTGGCTCCTGAAACAGCCCTCTGAAGCCCTCTGAAGGCACAAACATGGTCTCCTGTCTAAAGAGCGTCCATGGCACGTGCTAAACAATATTGTTATATCCCACATATGAATGAACGAATTCTTTCTTTACTGGCCCCAGTGCAATTCTGCTGTACGTAGCTATTTCAAACACTCTTACCTCTGCTTACAGTCTGGAGAATTGCAAAATGTACTAAACAACAAACCTTGTACGCTCTGTAATGGAATTTAGGAGCTCTTTAACTAACCACTTAGGCAGATGAAAATATAACCAACCAGCTTCAAAAGATGCTTCGATTTGTACCCCAGAGAGAAAATATGTGATATTAGCTGTGCTTAAATAAAATATTTCTCAAATATAGAGATATGCTAAATATACAGCTTTCACCCTATTTGAGAGAATAAGCACTCTTCACTGATACTGAACTCATGGCAAAAAATATTTTTCTATTTTGGTAGCATAGTGCAAACTCATGACTAATTTTTTGGCTGCTGTCACCATTAAGTTTCTTCTGACATTACTGCTTCACAGCTTTTTTCATTCCTACTGATTAGTTTCTTTTTACATTTTCCCATTTAAATTCTCTGCTTTGTTGCTATGTCAGAAATATAATGCAACAGAAAAATGTAGTAAGGCAAAACTTTCATTAGGGGTTACCACTCCTTAAAATACATCATCTGCTGCAAATTTCATATGCTTTTTCTCTGCCAGATAATTAATAATGATGACATTATCAAGGCTCTTAAGCTCTTTACCGTACTGCCAGCAACTCTCACTGTTCACTTGCCAACTAATCAGATTTCACTAAATATGAAGCATTCTCTAAATACCTGTAATACACCATTTGCAAACGACATGGTTCTTTCAACRGGTTCTGTTCTTCCAACAGATTGCAGGTGTGAATTTCAGGTGGGGAAAGTTTGTGCTCATAAAATGTCTGTGCCATGTGCACATCCAGAATGATGGTTTCAACTGCAGGAAGCTAATTACTTGAAACGCCTTTCTTACCTTTGCACATTGCATGTGGTTGCAGCCCTCATTCTTTTGGATGGGAGATTTGCAGTTGGCGCATGGTTTGGAGTTGGTTAGTAACCACAGGCAGTTGGCAGCATCTTCATAAGCCTCACTAACGCCCACAACTTCGTGAGGGTGACAGGAGGATACGAAGCATGAGAAAAGCAGAGAAGTTAAAACTGTATTTGTGAAATCCTTTGTGAAAATCGAATTAGGAAAGATGTATGTTTACCTAATTCTTGACAGAATATCGTGACTCTTCACTATATAAACATATTTCTCATATAAAAAGATATACATTCAYATCTACATGTTATGCATATGGTTTTACTTTCATATTGAGATTCGTATTATATAAAATACATTATCTATACATAAGAAAAATATAAGAAAAATCGGCATGAAAATGACAATATATGGTGTACTTACCTTCTTTCCATAATTTTCTACACTTGACAAAATAATTTATAACATATTATGGAAAGGTTCTGAATTGTAACTAAGTTACATTAGGATATATTCCAATTACTGTTAATGTTTAATTACTCTGTTTCTGTTGACCACTTCAAGAAAACTTTTGTCTTGTGTAAGCCCAAATTTTAGTAGTTGTTTCACTAAAAGTTATTTAATATTAAGCCATTGCCCACATTCATCCTCAATTTATTATGCCTGTTAGTTCTAAGTAGTTCAAAGCACACAATATAACCTGCATGGAGAAAATTCAAACAGAAGTGCAGATGGACTAAGAGGTTTAAAATTGACAAGGACAAATTAAATTAAAACTATAGTCAGGAATAAATTACATAAATTTGCAAAAGAAAGCAGTAAGAGGAACAGTAAAGAGCTTTATATATATCCTGACTGATAAGTACACAGATTTATGATGACAGACCGGGGAATAATGGTTTAAGGAGAATAGTCTATCATTAGTGTTGTCTAATACGTTACACTTCCACATCAACTGATGTKGTTAGAGCCATGAAACTGTTCAGTGTCTCATTTTAATAGAGGGACTTCGTGTTCTTCCTTGCTTTTATCCTATTTTTCAATTAATGTACAGTTTTCCTTTAATGCAGTTTAAAAAAAAAAAAGGGCACTCTAAAAATAAAGTACAACAAAATTCCAAAACCATGAGAAAGCCTCAGGCATGACTCTTACGTTCTTCTGGTTTCATTTCAGATATTTTCTGTAGCCAGTCTTTCCAGGTTTGACAGTCACAAGGTTCATGTGCTTCACCAAGACATTCCCTGGAAATCAAGACAGATAGACAATCATGTATCTCTTATAGATTTAAAATTAAGACTTAAATTCCATGTTGCTGCGAGCTATTAAAAAAAAAGGAAAGAAAAATGTAAACTAATCGCAAGATGCTCAAACTTTAATTAAGTCTGGAAGATTAAAAGTCATTCAATTACCATTACTTCAAAATATTCTCAGATTACTTGGTCATGAGCGTAGATTACTGTCATTAAGATTACTAAAGAACTTAGATTATAATTGAAAATAAATTAACTGGCTTGTAGCTACATTCAGCTCCTATTTTAGTGCCACAAAAAGTGCTAGCACAGTTTCTGTGCAAAAGGTAAACTTCAACTCAGAATACAGAGATTATCCAAAACCAGGTAGTTTGCTGCAGTTGACATGCATTTTCTGTAGAACTGTTTGTCCCTATTCCCTTTATGGATTAAAGATCAATAACCGATGTTTAACTGATTCAACCCTTTCAATGTAGAACAAGATCCAAGCCCGTCATAGATTTTCACTCTTTCCACCCAAATCTCTACAGAAATGTCTCTAGTTTAAGTTATATGGACCCAGGAGAGGAATGTCTCCCTTGAATTCCCCTTACAAATACTACTAGTTCCAAGGATGGTGATCACTACTACACAGCAGCAGATCGATGGCTTCCAGATGGTGCTTGGGTGCTTGTGGATGTGTCAGTATGGATTCCAGACTTGCAATGACTCCCTTTTTTTACTGGAAAAGCAGCAAATAGCCTCAGACATCTGCCACATCAAACAAAAAAATTCACAGAGGAAGTATATTTGAGACGGGCACCAGCTGCATCAAAGCAGAGGCAAGTTTTCTGAGATCAAAGGGCAAACTGCTTTCTGCAATGTAGTTTCAGGAATTAAATCAATGCCCCTCTGATCACTCTTGTCCACATCCTCCTGAAGCAGGAACATGTGAACAAAGGAAAGCTCAGGGCTATAGTTTTTAACCTATTATCTGCTAGCCAGTCTGCTATCAAACGAGCTGAAATTCACTGCACAAGAATCTGCAGCTCTATTTGAAGGAACTTAAGGGTCCACAGTTGGGGAAGTATCTTGCTCGTACCAAGAAAATCTCAGCACTGGTTGGAAACTGTCACTGTTCCCCACTTCTGTGGGAGAGCAGAGCACCTCAGTCATTGACTTCAGGAGAGCCAAGACCTCTCACACAGTGCGTGTTCCCAGGGAGGACTGAAACTGGCTGGATTAATGTTCACAATCTCAGGTTTAGGTTAAAGGGTGATTAGTCAATCTACTGGAGCAGGGAAGATCTCTCTCCAATGTTTTTGGTTTTTGAAATTTTAGACAGATTAGTTTCTGCTCCTAAATTCTGATATATTGTCAGGACCTGGAAAGCAGAAAACAAAACACACTTGAGAGAATTTTAAAGACCATTACAGACGTACAATTGGCTATTTTACCAATCCTGCTTTGCAGAAATAAAAGGCAAACATTTCCTGCATGCTTTTGCTGAGGCCCTTTTGGGGGCTTTTTTTTTTTTGAGGGGCTTTTGCTGAGCCCCTTACAAATCTTGCAAAAACTCAGGATGTAGAGGAAAGTTCTGTTCTTCACACTGCAGGAGTTGAGCTCTCCTAACTTAACTCCCATTCTAAAGCAAGTAATTTCTGGGTGTGTGAAAGGGTAAAAGACAGACTTGTGTCTTTCAGGGAAGGAAACAGTTCCCATTATTCTGAGTCTTCTTTTTTTCCCACTAGAGCTTGTTGAAAATAAATCGCAAAACGTCTTGACCCCTGCAGTCTGGAGTATGGAGAGAAAGCAGGATTTTTAATGATGTGCAATCTCATACTTGCATGATAGCCACAACAGGAACTTGCACAATGGCTCATGAAAGGCATTCTTTCCCATAAAACAAGGATTTTTATACAGGGATGCCATTTAATAGACTAAGAGTCTGAGTTTACTGCTCAGAAAGTGTTTTATGAAACAAATCTGTATTTGAGGCAGAGTCCACAAGAACACAGGTTGAAGGGAACTAACACTTGGCTGTTAAAATTAGCAGTGTTAGCACCTCAAACTGCATTCTTCAATAAGCATCAGCATTTATTTGAAGGTGGAGTACATTCTTAACACAATTGCAGCAAATTTCAGCTACCGTTTCTGGAACAGGCTGAAAGCACAGTCCAAGAAGAATGGGTTCCTGGATTTTTTTCCTCAGTGAAATTATTTGGATCCTATAATGAATTGAAATAACAAAACAGAGTCAAAAACTCATAACTAGCTTCCTAAGTTCTGAAGAGAGATGTCTCACACAGAATGAGGCTACCTCCCTCCAGGATAACAGGAGTGATGGTGCAGAACCAGGTTTGCAGTGCTTGCCAAATCCATCTTCGGGAAGAACTGTTGCTTGCCACAGTTTCTTATGCTTCTTGAGCAGGAATTCTAATATATAGAATCTAGCTGACAATAAGATTTAACTTAAGATTTGCACAGTTTTCACATGCACTACATTTAAATCACATAAAATTTTTTTTTTCTGAAAAGAATCAAGAATTAGGAAAAATATTTATCTCTGTCATTAAAAAATAGATTTTGTTTAATGCACTGTTAGTGGTGAGAAATACTGAGTAAATTCAAAAGAGCTCTGTTCTTAGGAGGAACACTGACAAAACCTCATGGATAGTCCCTATGCAATAGCATACTATGCAATAGCAAGTAGGTTTCTAGGGTTGGTTGTTAGTTTTTTTTTTTGACAATCTGAAAAAATCTTTCACTAAATGCAGTATCAACTGACATTGTAAAATCCTATCTGTAGACTTGCTGGGTAAACCTTGCAAAAGTCTGGATATGCAGAACGTGCCGATTGAATTTAAATGGTGAAAAGCAAGCTTCCTTTGAGCATACAGCAATGAGGAAAGCCCTCTGAGCTAAGAACACACTTTCTTTCTTGCAAAGGAACTCATTGTATCACACACAGTTTCCTTTTGTACTGTAGAACTAATAAGAGAGTCCTCAGCAAATAGCTGTGATTTACAGTGCTGCAGAATGCTTGGGTTGCAAGCAGGTCTTTCTTGATCTTGATTATCAGAAAGCAGAGATATTTCTCATTTAAATAATGCACTCAGGGGATATTTTCACTCAGGGAACACTGTGGGGCTAGTATACATTCAGGCAGTACAAGGAAGCTGCCACTCTTTGAAGCACCATCATGACATTACACGAGACTGGTCTCAGCTCTCTGCTTCAGGGTAATGGAAACACTGCTTCGCTCGCTCAGGAGACCAGCACTCCTAAGTAAGGGTGAGAGTGTGGTATCTAGACGCATAGGTTTGTTAGACATTCACCAGCAAAAACCTTCTATGGGTGATTCCCATGGGATTTTTTTCCCCTGAGTTTTCCATCCCAAGAACAACTTCTTTCCAGGAGGTTTTGCATCAGGTTCCATTTTCTGTCTGTCTTGACTGTTTTGTTATGCCTGATTTCTTTTTTTTTTCCTTTCTCCTCTCATAAATAATAAATAAATAATGAATAAATAAAATCACAAGTATCTCTCATTAAGAGTTTAGACTTATTGGAATCTAGCAGATTATTCAGGATCTTTTCTTTTTGGATCACAGTTTCATTTCAGAAATGTCCCATCAAGTAAAAAGGAGTCTCGCTTCTAGAGTAAAAGTTTAAAAATCATCAGTCTGATAATCTCAGGACAGGACTGAGTCCAGCCTTAACAAAAAAAAGCAGCAGGAGATTTTTTCTGAGTTTTGCTGTCCTTTCCATAGAAGAACTGAGGATAGACAGTTTAGGCAATTTTTGAGGGATGGTTTCTTAGATCTCTTAAGCCTTTATCTTCCTTGTAGAGCTTGTGTTGATCTTCTGACTCAGCAGGAGGTAGTGCAAAATAAAAGTGCTCTTCCCCAAGTGAAACACGAATTGGAGTGCTCAGGCAAACAGAACTAGCTATGTATGGAGCTAATGATCTGGCATCATCGTGATGCGAGTCTGCTTGAATTCTGCCAGCCACAAATTCCAGTTTTTCTGTGCTATAATGCAGGCCTGGCCACGTGTTTCAGTCACACTATAGCTGTCCAGAATAGACACAAAAAGTCCCTCTTCAGCACCCTGCTGCTCTCCCTGTCCCCTCAGAACTGAAAATCACAACACTGCATGCAGCTGTTTTGAATTTAACAGAATTAAGAACAAACGGGAAAAGAAAATACTATAACCCTCTCTTGTGACCCAAAATACCAAAGTACTTGTGCATCCTAGTTTACTTGCATATGGATACAGGATGGTGTAGTCATGTCAACCAGTGCAAACCGCTGTTGCGTGCTGGGTGCTAAGTGTGAAGAGCAGTGACTAGGAGTTTATGGAGACATGGAGACACTTCCAGTACTAACCAGCAGAAAAGATGTCCTTTTCCACAGTCTACAGCAGGGGCTTTTAGCATAGGGAAGCTGAGTGTATCTGATCCTGTGGAATTCGATCCTTGCCTTGTTAGCCTTACGGCTCTTTCGCAAGCAGGTATAGGGCACCATTTAATGGCAGGATTATTTTCAACAAAGGCCTACAAAAAGAAAAGGTGGAAGATCATTTAACTTTCATTGCTGACTTTTTCCATAGTTCTACAGAAAGACTGCTTTTCAAAGGAAGCTGCAACGACTGAAAGCAACATATTAGAAAAAAATCAGCAAAATAAATAAAGATTTTCCAACTTCTTTTCCTATATACAGCAACCATACCAAGAATTGGATGAAAAGAAAAATTCTAAGTCACTCAGTTATGGCAATAATTTTCCAAAATGGTAAGTCAAATCTACTCGGCTTAAAAATAGCCTTTTTGTAATTAAAACAACAACAACAAAAATTCAAAAACTTTTAAAAATTTTAGTTGGYCCACATGAAAAAGTCTGGCAAAATAAAAGCTTCACATCACTTGCTTTTTGCTTGACCAAAAATACTACTAATACCAAATACGTTACACATTATATAAGTGCTGAATTTGTATTTGAGGAATAAATATAATGCTCATTTTTTCACTGCTATATCAAATATTCAYACTGCGGTATATAAGACAACCAATAATTTAGTGTATATATTAATTTATTCATTTCTACTTGGAAAGCTACAGACATACTACACCATTTCACATAAGAGCTATTTAGAGTAAAATGAAATACATTTCAAGAGTACAGAAACAGTTTGATAATTTACCTTAATGTCAAACTGCAGGTATCTTTTGTCCATCTCCTTGGAAACCACACTTTCTATGATGTCTACTGGCACAGGCTGGAAGCAGTCATATGCTGGGCAAAAAATGTTGTGAGCTTCACCCTCCTGAATTTTCAGATTCAAAAATCTGCCAGAATGTTGTCAGTCAGTATTTGTGAAAAAAAAAAGTAAAAAATAAGAGGCTGCTGAATACTATTTTTACATTTATAYTATGTTCATAGATACTGAAATTAATCTAGCAGAAGCAAAGAACAGAATGTATCCCTTTAGCCTAAGAGGGCCAGAGATTTGAGGCAAAGCACACTTAAAAAGAGTAACAGGACATGATCACTGTTCAAAAGTGAGCACCACCATCTCTGCTTAAGCAGCCCTATAGGTGAGTGGTTTCCATCTTTGCTATTTATGAAGGATTGCTATGCAATGTTTAGTCAAAGTGAGGCTTTCTTCTAACTTACTTGCAAAAAGGAACACATCAACTCTAATTAATGAAGAAAACGTTTTATCAGACACACAGATAGACAGATGTGGGGCCCTTTTACAGCTAAGGTAAAGAGAGGTGCCACGTCCTCGTGCCCTAGATGGCACCTAGGCCTGGGCTGACACTGTCACGTGTCCGGCCCAGGATGCGCAGGCCGGAGTCTGTGCTGGAAGTGGGGCTGGATCCCTGGAGCAGCTTCCAGGCCTCTGCAGAGCCACTTACAGCAGAGCTGAGCTTAGCTGTCAGTTTTCTGAGCACCTACAAATCGCTGTTTTAAAGCACACATGGAAAAAGTGTTCTTAGCATGGAAGCAATGGGGTTACTTCAGTTAGGCTAAATYTGGAGTAGCCCTAGCTCCACTAGAGCAGTACGGTTCAGTAGGACAGTCTTTTGAGCAGGAGCAAAGACATGCACAGAGGCACTTTATGCAGATACAATTATTCCTGAGGAAACGGAAATAAGACTGATATTTATCCTAATATAACTATCCAGGCCTCGCTTTTTATTAGTGTGATTATGTTAGCTTAAAAAAATGCATGTTAACTAGAGAGTTCAACTTCTTTAAACTCACGCTAACTCCTCAAATATTAAGCCTCAATGTAGGAATGTATTTTAATTGTTTTGCTGACTGGAAGTGGATTTAAGATGCCCAAGCTTATTGCGCTAAACTCAGAGATGGGATTAAGCACGTGTTGAATGCAGGAACTGTAAAACCCCCACCCCGTTCCCACCTCCAGCAAACCAGGAACAGGCTCTTCCCTTTACACACAGGCTTAAAACACAGACTCCACAGCATTGCTGACTCAGGCCCAGTCTAGAACTGCTGATGGCCACTTTGAATGGCAAATTCAGCCTTCAGTAAGATCAAAACAGCAACTCTGTGGGACCCAAATAGTACTTTCATATTAGGTGTTTATTGCCTATGGCCTTTCCTCTTCCAAATGGGAAGCACAAACATTTCTCAGAAGATACAAAGGTACTCACGCCTCCCAGCACGCTCTGCAGAAGTCATGGCCACAAGGCATGTCCACTGGGTCTTCAAACACAGAAATATTACACATGCAAATGTCACACTGTAGGTGAAAAAAAAAAAACAAATTTCCAGTTAAGAAGTATCCTAAAGCCTTTCTTATTGTTAGCAGTACATATTATGTTGGAAAATCCAAACAAAAAGGTAAGGAAATGTCTGGTAGTGAAAAACACCTTCAAACATTAACACAAAGAAAAAATTAAGTAGRTGATTATAACAGAAATAGGAAAGAAGTAGTTATCTCCTATTCTGTAGCTCCCCCCCAACACACACATCCAAGCAGTACACACGTAATCCTGAATTAACACATTTTTACTGGGAAATATACCCAGACAATGTTTCACTCCTAAAGTAAATATCTATCAATACAATTCCATGTAGCTTCTTTCTTTGTATGTTTTAGTTAGACTAGAAAAAGGGTTCTGAGAAGGACTGCAAAATTTTTATTTTAATGTGATATCCAGGGATGATTCATTTACAAAACTGTATGTAATATTCTAGAAAATGCTTAGGTCATGGAGAAAGAGTTTTATAATGTTGCAGCTGTAGATTATTAAAAGGAGAACTCTGTTTTCCGCAAGAACCACACTGATTTCAATGAAAGGCGCTTTCATATTTCAAAGTTGCAACAGCCTTGTAAACTGCTTGAAGCTGCCCACACATAGTAAAAGCAATTACAATCTTACAGTGGGCTGACATTTCATGCAGACAAAGAGAATTTTGTTTTCTAATGAAAAAATGTTTAAAAGGCAGGGTTTGCAGCACTGAGTGTATTTGGGGAAATGGATACAGTAGAAGAGCATGGCTTGAGAAGATGCTTTAAAATTAAAGCTCAGAAGAGCTGCGTGCAGCAAGGACGTGATTGTGGTGGGATCAGATTCCACTCTGTGAGCGACAGGGAGGGTGAAAGCAGAGGGCTCTGGCTCTGTATTGGCCACACCATCAATGTCTGACTATACAGCATGGTTAAGGTGGAAACATTTCTGTTCATCACTTTTGCAAACAAAGTTTAATAGCCTTTATGAAGTTATTTTCAAAAAAAAAAGGCAAAAAAATCCCCAAACAAAACAAAAACACCCCAAGATATCACTCCTGTGCATGTCCAGAAATAAACTCTCTGGCGCCATGCGCTGAGCTCTATTTATAAACGCACCACAGCTGTCTCCATGTCTCCTGGCGAGGGGCTGGTCTCGTCCGGGGAGGTGACGGAGGAGCGCGTGGTGCGTGGGGTGCGCGGCGAGGGCAGCGTGTCCCACGCGTTGTAGCCGCTCGGAGGCGGCGTCGGCATCTGCACCCCCGAGCGCTGGCAGCAGTTCTCCGGGCTGGACATCCACGCTTCCAGGAGCTTCTCCCTGTCCCAGTCTGCAGGAAAGACACGGATGAGGCAGGGCAGGCAGCTGACAAGGATGGACTCCTACCCTGCACTGATGCTGCAAAAAATTCTGTGATTGAACTTAATAAAAACACAAATTTTAATAAAATGAGAGCTACTTGTACTTGCTGAATGGCAAGTACATTCTTAAGTCAACTGCTTTAGCGTGAACTGCATGATAAACTACTCTGACCTATGATGTGTTTTGTCCTACAAGARCAATGTTGAAAACATGATTTGTACAGAAATGGGCATGTTCTTTTTTCTCTCTGCCACTTTTTTTTTTTTGCCACAGTGTTTCTTTTTTTCTCTTGGCTCTTACCCTACATAATTCTATAATGTAAAAAAAAAAAAAGTAAACAAAAATACACTCCCAACTCTTAACAGTTTGTGCCACGATACTATTTGTGCGATAAAAGAAAGCAAAGTTCATGGGATTAAATATTAAATGTCTGTAAAAGATTAAAAGTAGTAAATAAGAGCAATCTTTTCAAGAAATTAAAACATGCTTTTCCCATACCAAGTGTGAATTAAGTTAAGATTCCCTATTATTCTCTTCTGAATTTCAAGACTAAAAGCAAAAACATCGCAACTTGGCTTTTGGTGCTCCCCAGTTGTCTCAAGTCACATAAACAGTTCAGCAGTTTCTTTTCCTTGATGCTAATACCAGCATGTCTTCACTCCAAATAAAAAACAGAGCTTTGAGTAATTGCCGGGGTCCGAGCAGAGCTAGGGGCAAGGCAGGTGCCTTCCTCCTGACCTGCAGACCGTGAGGGCTTTGCTTTCCATGTGGGCCAGGCTCCTGCTCCAGGGCTTGGGAACACCAGCCCGATGACACTGGCAACTGCTGATTTCTTCTCAACTTTCGTTCCTGCTGGCAGGCAGCTCTGCAGAGTTTACACTGACCACCCATGCTTAATTAGAAAGGGGCATTAGTTTGGGGTACCATGCCAACTAAGGAAAAAGTCTGGCAAATACTGTGCGTTTAAAACCATCTTCTTCCATTTCACATTTCCTTTCTTGTTTTTGTACGCAAGAAGCCCACAAAAAAAACAGAGTAAACATTAGCTGGTGCTCAATCCAGCAGTATGGTGAAGAGCAAGCACACAATTAGCTGCCTGAGCACTCCTTTTGGCATATGGGGACAATGCAGATGCTTCACGAAGCAGAAGCTCCAATCCACTGAATGAAAGCCTAAAGCTTCCACTGACTTTCAGAAAAATACTTTTGTCTGGGGGAAACCCACTGAAGTCTGTATACGCCGGTCCCAACACTGCAGCACAACAGCTTTCAGTGAAATTTGGACTGCTAAAGATATATACAGGGAAAAGTACACCTAATATTAAAACAATGATTATAAAAATCCTTACACTTTAAATCCTAAGGCAAATTCCAGCTATTTATTGTAGTGGTCAGACTGATTTTATTGCAGTGAAAAAATTAAGCAGGTGTTTAGTGGCAGGCAACAACAGTCTGATAAAAAAGGTACAATGAGCTTCTCTTAATTTATTTCATAAAGATTAAACATCTGCACACATACACTGTGCAGATTCACTTCTAAAATTTCTACATGTCATCATTAGAGAAAGCAGTTTTTCCACATTGCTTTAGTTCAAAACTTCTTCTATTATAATTCCTTGTCTGAATCATTCCTATTGATTTCTCTGTCCGCATTAATGCTTTTGACATACTGCAGAGGTACTTCTTTCTGAAATACCGTGGGAACTATTTCCTGGTATTTGATTAGCTGTTACTGCTCTTTTACTCGCAAATAAAAGGAAAATGCTCTMACAAGCGCAGTTTTTATTTTGCTGAAAACATTTTTTTTTTAAGTCTTTAGGGTTTGTGATTACCATGTGCCCGAAGCAGAGCTTCTGCAGTGAAGAGTGGGGCTTGAAGCATGTCAGCGGACTCCACTATCAGCATATCCTTAAGCCTTCGCAGGTCCTGAAGTCTCAGTCCCTCATATGGCTTTGAGAAGAAAAAAGGCATTTTATGTCTAGCAGCATTTTTCAGTGAATCTTGACTTCCATATTAAAATGAAAACGTACAAAGTGCTGTTATGGACAATTATCTCAACTGTAAAACAGAGCTGTCTGTGATCTAATACGAGATAAAAACATATTGTGCAGACCAATGACCACACAAGATTAAATGGAAAGTCTGTCATATAGCAGTATTGATAACATTTACACATTTCAAAATCCAAAAAGACAGTATTTCCAATGATCTTCACTATAACTGGAGGCCTTGTTCAAACCTGTAACTGTTCTCCCGCTCCCCTCCAAAAACAAAATTACTGGATTTTCACAGAATCCAKTTAAATCCTGGAGTGATTAAAACTCACATATTGAGACACGGATAAGTAAAAATATGACTCTGTATTCATGGAAGACCGGGAGAAGGGACAAGGTGGCATATACTGCATACAGACTTCCTAGCAYTTGACTTTGTACATGACTTGACACCCCTTAACTTGGAATCAGCTGGGAGGAGAATCCATCGAGACATTAGATAGCGAGAAGGGGGTATGTGCTTTTTTGTGAGAGATCTTTTGAGGCTATATGTGCCTTTCCTGGAAGTAGAAAAGGCAACAGGGAAAAGGAATAGCAGGAAAAAGCAGCCTGGGCCAGGCAGTTGGAGGCTGGGGGATTCATTGCACATGAAGATGTCAAAACTCTCTGTGGGAAACGGCAGCCTGAGCTAATTGCCGGCTTCCTCCGGGCTGCAGTTCCATCCCCTCGTTACAGTGCTAAAAAAAAGGTCAAATTAGACAGGCAAAGGAGGCAGGCAGTGGAGGACGCTGAATTAGCTCCCACCAAGAGCCTGGAGATGCATACACAGGCTTTGCAGGTTCGCTTTCAAAAGCAACAAAGGAAGAACACGGCAGCAGATAATACATTTCACGCTGTTGCATAGGGAAGTTGCCCAAAAGGCAGAAAAACAAGTGGGAGGATATGTAAGGAGAACGATATGAATGRATATATGAGAAGAACCTGTTCTTACATGCATGCGTTTAGCTTAATGAATGGAAAAAAGATTTTAAACCCCTGGCATAAGGTCACAGTGAAGGGTGCTCAGGTATAACTAGGCACTGGGCTGCCAAATGGATCTCCTCTTACTGGGAGAGTGGAGCAGTGATACTGGAAAACTGCAGTTCCAAGCAGGGGCACTTGTGTTACTGCTTGTATTTTGAGTTTTGGGACCTTCTAGTGCCAGGAACCTGGTTCCCTTCTTGGAGAAGGTCTGTGCTCGAAGGGAAGACACGAATTGTTCGCGCTAAAGCAAACCAGGCCGCTCGCTTCACAGCGTGATGGACTTGGGCCGAACTATTTCATTTCTTACAGAAGAGATCTTTAATAAAAGCCTGTCAGAGAGATAGGGATGCAAACAGCTGGGTGCMAGGATGATCCTCATGGCATGAATATACTGCAAAAATGGGGAGTGATGAGTAAGTCTTCTTGACTGAATTTGAACCACATTGTGAATTGTAATTGTAAAAAATGAAGCTTCATCGGCACAAGAGGCCTCACCCTTTGAAGACACATACAAGATAAAAAGACCATTCTTTTCTATTAAACGTGCAACAAAAACGTGTATTTAAGGACCCATTATTTCATCCTGAATGGCAGATATACTCAAAATTATATTTAACTGACTGGTTCTAGGTCAAACACTGGCAATTACCTCCCTTGAGCAASAGACTATTATATTATCTCAGCTGGATCATTCCCTACAACCCAGCAGGGATTTATGGATCCTGTGTTTAAAAAAAAAAAAAACAACATTTTATCTTTTTAAGCAATGAGGGAAATATTTCTTAAGAATGYGTTTGAAACTTTAGACCCTTTGTTCATAAAACAATAAATAAGCCCACAGAAGAAACTAAAAGAAAGGAAATTCTGGCTGGCATAGTCTGGAAATTCCAAAGTGAAGGCTTTATGATGAGAAACCTTTAATGTTCCTGTCTACAAGAGGTAGTCACATGTCTACAAGAAGTAGTCTTAGTGAATCTTGTGAAGATGCCGTCTTCAGGTTTAAGGATATCTGTTTCCTAGGAAGTACCACATAACATTTTTTTTTAAAAAAAACAAAGTGTGACATTTATGATTTGCCTCTGTACTGCCATGTACTGTAAATGATCTTGACTGCAGCTCACGATGCTCGGAGGCGGCCTCCAGTACTTGTTTATAGAGCTAGTCTGTACTGGTATTTGCTATGAAAAATGCTTTGTTTTATATTAACACCACTGAACTATATGTATATATTTTAGAATGTACTCTTTCAGTTATGACTTCTGCCTCTGGTGAGCTTCTCACTACAGACTTCAGCACTTCCAAATTCTCAACAAATAATTCTTTTTAAAACATACTTTCCTCTCATTTTTTTTACCACTAATACTTAGATATAATAAATTCTAGCATTGCTTTTCTCATGAAACATTTAAAATATAAGATAATATAAAAATATAATAAAATACAATAATATTCTGTAAACAGAATATTATTTTAACAGTTTAYTTGAAAGAATTATTTTTAAAGCAAAGCAACTGCTTGCTACAGTGGCAACTACAGAATCAAATGGTAACACATATACTTTATGTTATTATTTGATTACATGGTTCAATATGTCAGTTGAATATGTCACCATGTTCTCCTTTTGGGATGGAGTTATACATTTTAAAACTATCTATGCTCCATTTAACTCATTCATGTATAAGCACCTTACCTATGTATAGTACATGCGTGCTTACATACTAGATAGCTACAGTCATCTTTACTCCTTCCACTTAACAAACAATTCTGTATCTGTAGAGACAAAGTACATTCTTACAGAACAATTCCAAAATCTCTATGCTCTATAAATCTGTAATACATCCATTAATAAGTCTATTTCTACAAGCTTCAGTGACACATATGTAAAATAAACTTAGAAATGATAATAATTTGCTACTGCACAKTGTCATTTCTCGGAGTCTGACTGAGAACCAAAGTTGTTCTGGGTGATTTGCTCTCAGTTACTGCACATTCCCAGTGCTTCTTATATATGCTTAAAACCCTGCATGATGTGATGGAAAGGAAGGTGCCTGCCACCTTCGGGAAATGCATCTCAAAGACGAGTAGGCTTCTCTATTAGAATAAACAGAAAACAAGAGAACTGTGCTAGTAGAACAACCAGAATCTATAATAGTAGTTTTCAACTACTGCAGTAGTGGAAAATTAAATGTACTCAAATAATTCCTTGGTAATATTTTAATGTGAAGAACAACAGAAATCAGCTTTCGACATCAGAAACAAAGCTTTGTTATTACCCTCAAWAAACACAATTCAGTGACACTGCACAGACTACTACAGAAGTCTTCAGGTCTGTCTGAGAAACAGTGMTAATTTCCTGCTGTAGACAAGGCAGGTCTGGAAGGGGAGGTTTCTGGTACTGTAATTCCCAATAYTACTGTGCACGCCATGAAGTCTGGAGTTAATATTCTCTGGCTGTTTTGTCCAGGAAGCGAATCCTATCCATGCTTTTGAATATATTTTTTTTTCATCCTACTTTCATTCAAGAGATGGGATGACTTAAAATATCCATTTCTTGGTGTTCTAAGGTTTTGGCTTTTTAAGAATTAAACTCTCTTCTTTTGGAAGGATGCTAAAGAGCATCACTACAACATAAACACTAGGTTAAACATTTTGCATAGTCACTTCCTTCAATTTTTTTTTAATGAATTTGAGAAAAAAACTAGAGGGCCACACTTGAGGGGAACTTTTAGGTGAGGGCACAGTGCTTTTCGAGTACTTCTCATCTCCAACAAGGACAGAGTTGGAAGCATCACCAAAGCCAGCAGTAAGAGCAGCTTTCGCTGCCTATCCCAGGCATTTGCCCACGGATGTTGGGGACAGGGACATGCAGTTGCTTGCAAGGCAAYTCAGTGCAGGTCCTGCTGAGGCTGTTGCTTTTCTATTATTTTCAGCCCCTGTGAGGGCTCCCATGGAAAGACGAGCTCCCCTGTCTACATGTCCCTGCTTCCTTCTCTCTTGGGCTACCATGTGCACTAGTGAAGCTGCACTAGGTGTGAGGCCCAGAGCTCAYCTGAGTGAAAAGTCACAAAGAAAGAGCGGGAGGTTGTGGAGCTTGAATAACCACACACAGAAACCCCGAGACCACCTGCTGGTGTCCCAAACAGCAAGGTGGAATTACAATTTTTCCAATCGATTCTGATTTTTCAGCTTGGGAATCTTGGAGCTTTTTGGAGAGCTGCCTTGACATGCCCTGCAGATCCAGCTCTGCAGATCCAGCTCTGCAGGCCTGCCTTCACTTCAGTTCTCATGCTCATGCTAAAAACAAGTCACATGAGGAGCAGAGCTGGGTGTTTTAATCATCTCAGTCAAGTGACCCCAAATTAACATAATTACCTTTTACCTGAGTCCCCCTAGTAACTACCAAATCTTTAAGTTCATCAGGCTCTGAGCTTTTCTTGCTAAAAACCTGCCGAAGCGGTTCCTGATTTGCTCCACCCAGGCTCAAAGTTTACTGATCTCATAGCTGTGCTGGTGCACGTGCAAAGCTGTGGTATAAATACAACAATAAAAAGGATTCAAGTTAAATAAAACAATTACATACTCCACTCTCAATGCCTTTTTTCTTTGGAGCCAGATCACTTCAATGGCAGGGTTTACAGCATCACCACACAAAAAGCTTTAAATGTATAAGCAAAGGAGCCAGTAATACACTACAGCAGTGGCAGGTAATGGCACTAGTCCTTTAAAGTGGTTTTGCCAACAAAGAAAATATCATTTCAGACTTTAAACTCAGAACATTTTGGGTGTTTCTACATGAAAATATTTGCAGAAGCCAAAATGAATCAATTACGTTTATTACTAGAATGCACAACTGAAGTGTATTAACTCCTTTTGAACGCTTCTCTTCTAGGAGTAAACAATCTAATTAAGCTTATTTATGTTTAAGTTTATTGGAGAAGATTAGCCAGAAAATTAATTGGACAGTTCAACAGCTATCTTACTTTTAAACAAAAAGTCACATGCGTAGCATTCTTCTGGGAAACAATTCATGTGCTCTAAGCCTGCTCCTAGCTAAACCTGAATTTATTTTTGTTTAGATGTCATCAGACCACAAAAGATTGAAGTAGYAAAATCTTCTCGAACCCAATAGCCATATAGAAGTCTACATGACCTTTACTTTACACAGAATTGCTCAAATATTTTTAACTTACTTAAAAAAATGCCTTTTCATATTATTTCTCTATGAGTTCATCTTTAGGCTCTCGGTTTAATTACAAAGTTTAATTACAATGTGTGGGGGAGGCAGCTTTTGATTAGAACTTTCGGGGCAAATTATCCTTAATCATACTAAAAATGTAAGTCACAATCTTAAGTAAGGCAGGCAGATTTCTAGCAAATTGGTGTCAGTGACTTTCGGGTGGCTTTCAAAGCTGCCTGCAGAATAACATTCCCTGTTATTATCTGTCTCTCACACAAGTTCTGGGATGCAGTTGCTCCAGGCGCCATGTTACAAAATAAGAAAGCAAACGCATGTTTTGAAACCCTGCACTATTCCTTCAGCTATTTTTTGTGACATTCATAAGCACAGTTTAGTCAGAAAAGTCATGTTCCCTCCCACTGATTTTCTCTTCACAGATTTTTCTTCTGTTTTCATTTTTACATAGAAAAACAACTTAAGAAACTTTAAAAACTGCTTATTTTGGAGCGTCTGTTTCCCACTTACTGGCCCCTCTGTTCTTCCTTCAGCTTGACAGCATACAACACTTTCTACTTAATGTATTGAAGAATATATTAAGTAGTCTGCTTAAGATACTGAAGAAGCAGAAGTATATATATATTTAAACTGCACTTTTGGCAACAGACTTCTTGTCTCCCCTAAACTTAACTTCAAAGATAATAAAGAGGTCTGCTTAAAATCAACAGCTTTAAAAGTATAACTGAAACACACTACCTGCTCAAATACTTTGAAGAATTACGTCAGAATATAACTGCTACATATATATGGATAAAATAGATAAAATTCAAAGTATCCTCTGACCTCTTTTTTGTCTAAAGCAGCATATTCAGCTTCAATGCTTTCAGCTTCAGGATCTCGTGAGAATACCATCCGAGACTCCAGGTTAAGAGCCAGCTCTTTATGGTGCTGTTTCTCTGCGCAGTCACATGGAGTATCTTTATTTTCATTTTCTGCAAACAAATCTCCACCATGTTTTACTAGAAGCTGAAAGCAAAAAGTCAAAATAAATAGCTGTTATTCACCAGCTCTAAAAATACACCGAGGAAACACAAGTGTCAGTTAAGAAGACAAGAAAAAAAAATAGTGAACCAAGTAAGGAGAAAGAGGAGACAAAAATAATAGGGATGGTCTGTGGGAAACAAGGATTTTCCACTGTTGTTAAACAAATCATGGCTTGCTTCTCTACATCATTATACACATTATTTAATTCCACAGAACCACAAAAGCTCAGCAATGCTTTTCAAGGCAACTCTGAACAACATATTTTCGCTGGGGTTTAAACACTAAGGTTTGGTTCTGCTGGGGTGGTCAGTACTGCTGTTATAATGAGGGACACTGAGGGTCATCAAGGATCAGGCAAGACTGGCCTAAAACAGCCTTCAAATCACCCTTCAATATTCTTTATTTAAAAAAAAATAAGACCACAGACCTGAAAAATTGCTGGTAACAAAAAAGGGAGAATCCTCAGGTAGGAGGGAAGTTGAGGAATCATTCACAGACAGGAGCATATGATACTGCTGATAGCTCCTGCTATTTAGGACTAATTTGAGGACATGACAGTGAACTGAATTAATGCTATAAATGCTATTGCAAAGTCAGCATTCTTTTTCCTACGCTTACGTAAATGATGCCATAAACACACACACTGGGCACAGYCTGAGCTTCTGAACACTTGATGCAAAATACAGTCCAGCCTCGTCTCTTGCCTTGTGCCCAGGACCTGCAGCTGCCCAAAAATGGAGCTTTTAGCTAAGAACCAGCAGCTGTGCTGCACTCTGCTCTCTGGGCCTCTCTCCTGATATAAACRGATCTAACAAAGACAATAAATGCCAGAGATCTAATGGCCGAGAGTGGACAATTTTGCTGATTTATTATGACATTTTTATGATACATTTCTAATGTATTCCAATTTCTATAATAAATTTCTAATGTAGAGCACCCAGGCCAACTGTTCATTAGTAAAATCGTTTATCTTATTTCTAAGTAAAACTAAAATCTATAAACATTACTTTGCTTTCACATGATGACTATATCAACAATATCCATTATTTTCAGCCAGAATATTTCAAAACTCAGCTTTTACTCTCTATATTTTTAAAAATGAARTAAACTAAAATTTCCTCAACCAAAATCTGTTCTTCTGTTCTCCTCATAGACTCTTGCAGATGAAGAAGAAATCACTTCCATAAATTAAAATTTCCTTAATCTGTCAGGATAGAGCACATTTTACACACCTGGAATCATTCTTATATATCTCTACGATTTTTTTTCCATGTTTTCCAAAATAAAGAGAAAAAATATATACAAAAAGCTCCCAAATAAGTACAAAGTTTATCAAAGCTTAATTACGAAGGAATATGCATCATTAAGTATGGTGCAAATTCAGGCAGAAATACAGATAATACCAGGATAACTAGCAAGATATCCAGCCCACTGTTGTCTTGTTATTCTATGTGCACTTTGTAATATTGAGAAAATTTTGTTAACGTATCTTGACTTTCACATACCTTTCACATGRTGTCTGTATATTTTAAACTCTAGCAAAAAATTAGCTAAGACAAATTAGTCACATTCTGAAGGAGAAAAATCAACAAATATGCCTGAAAGAACGTTGTGTAGTTAAAAATCTAATCTGCAAAATGAGGAATGTGTAAACTGACCTGCTGTATTTCTTTGGTGCCACTGTTAAAAAGGCTTCTAAATCATTACAGGAAGATTAATAATTTGAATAATCCCATTACTAATTTAAATAAAATGAAACAAACACAGAGAGAAAATTGTTAAATTCCTTCACTAAGCTCAGACTCCCATTTTTCATAATGTTTTGTTCCTGAAGGAGTTAAAGGGTCTACAAATTATACTGGAGGACTTAAGGTAGCACAGATATTAAGTCTTAAGATCTTAGCATCTAGGGTAGCAACACGCCTATCCTGTGGAAGGGCACAAAACAAAGTTTGGACATGGGAGTGTACCCTATATTTCTAAAGCAGGATTAGTTAAGACTATTTAACTGGGTCAAAACTAATGACTACCTAGTGGAAGAGACTCTAAATTCTTCTTCAAAGACAAGTGAGAAGAAAATTAGTGTCGTAAACTGCACAGTCAATTTAATAGCACRTATTCCAGTGATACCACAGAAAGTCTATATTGAAAGCTAAGTAGAGCAGAGGTGATGTTAAATATAAAATAATACTATAAAATAAAACAAATATAAATCTAGTTAGGGTGTTAATTCCAAATAGGGAATTAACAGTCTGGTAACTTGGTTCATCTGCTCAGTAATATCATAGACTCTTAGAAACAGCATGATCATTTGTGGAGGAAGACAAAACAAGACGTTTCAGGATGAGTTTAAAACTAACTGGAAGTTCCATCTCCATGAGAGGAAGAGCTTCTTYCCTGTGAGGGTGACAGAGCYCTGGCACAGGCTGCCCAGGGAGGCTGTGGAGTCTCCTTCTCYRGAGATCTTCCAAACCCGCCTGGATGCCGCCCTGTGCCCCGYGCTCTGGGTGTCCCTGCTGGAGCAGGGGGCTGGACTAGATGATCSCTAGAGGTTCCTTCCAACCTCAACCTGTCTGTGATTCTGTAACCAATATCACAGGTGGCAGCTGAAAGCCTTAGCCCAGCTCCAGAACCATGATTTTCTCCACGGTGACTGTGATGCTGTCAGCTGTCTTGGTCTATGTGGATCTTACTGCATTTGCTTCATGCTCTCAAAGTTTAATGTTTTGAGTATCAGTGCCTAAGTCTAACACTACAACGCTGCCCAATTCGGGAGCATAAAAGGAGAATGGCTGAAAAATTCTTTCTCAAATCTTATGTAAATCTAAGGTCCAGGCAATCCCAGGATCTCAAATGGAGAAACAGATTGCAGAGAAGACTAACAGAAAAGTGAGGAATAAGAGTTTCTATAGAGAATACAATTGCTCTTTCTTTTTGCACCCAACCTGAGGTAGTTTATACATCAGTGTAATAAGCAGAGTATTTCACAAATGTCAGTAAGGAGATTTATAAATCCCCAAAATTGAAATATTACAAAACCTGATTGCTCTATCTTCTCTGTGTGCCACTTCTCTACTGGAAGAGATCACTGTCATGTCAGACTAGTCAATAAGAGCAATTTTCACCAACTTTGGCTTCAGGGGGTATAAATGCTAAATCTCTCCCCTTTTTCTGCTATGACATGAAACGACACAGAGGCAAGGGTTAAGCTGCTATAAGGCATGCTAAATTCTCAGTACACACTCAAGGGGCCCGATGGGCAGAGGCTTAAACCACAGCAGAGAAAACAGCACAGGGGAATGAAAATGATATATGGAAGCAGGGTTTACCCTGGAAAGCTACACAGGAACGAGGCTGAAGAGTTTATCACATAAAATTAATGCATACGTAATCAATTTGTTCCTCAATCTCTACCTGTTAATTATARACATAAATTATTTTTTACTAGAACAGCTTTATGAAACAGTGTACATGTCATTTACTAGTAGTAGTGTACAAACTGTGATTCAATAGCAGCTTTTACCTCTACACAGGTTTTCATCCCTGAGGCAGCAGCGTAGTGCAAAGGTGTATTTTTCTTGTTATCAACAGCATCAATTGCTGCTCTTTCATATTGTCCTTCATCCAGCTTTGCTCCTTTCCACTTCAGGATCATTTGCAGGCAGTCTGCCCTTCGGCAGTCGTCTTCGGAGGGTCGTGTCAGGCGTGGGTGCAGAGCTCCCTCCGATATCATGATCTGAGGTCCCATACACAGCAGGTGCATAGATGTCTCATTGTGCACGTTCCGTTTGTTTGGGTTTCCATCTCTAACAAAAAGGAAAGTTCTGCGTGGGGAGAGAAAGGAGAAGAACAATCAGCACGTGGAGCAGCTCACGGCCTCGACGTGGGAAGTCTCTGTTGTGACTGTTCCCTTTTCCTCCTGCCAGGATTTTGATTAGCCATGTCAGGGATAAACATCCGTAACAGGTAATGACTACTGGATATGTGCATTTCTTAACATGAAAGAAATAAAAACATCCTTACTCTCTGCCTGGTAGGTGGTGCTCACAGGTGCTTTAATTACCCATTTAGTCTCTCCCAAAGACTATAAATTGCTTTTGCTTTCATTTCAGGAAAAGAGGATGGAAATCAGTCCACGTTTGGAAACAGCAATAGGAGCGTTTCCCACCCAACAGTGGGCACTGCCAGCTCTTCTCCATTACTCTCAGGAGTCAGTTGTGAAGATCAAGCTGAATTACTAAAACATCATCAACTAGCATACTTAATTACTTTGTCGGTATGCAAYAATTTTTAGTTGGCAGAATTTATTTTAGAATGCTGTGTTGTATTACAAGAACTTTTATTAAGTCACAGGTTCAACAATTTACTATTTTCTTTCTTTCTGTATTCTGAAGTGTGGTGCATTTGGTAGTTTGCAAATAGAAGATGTCAATTAAGTCCACCCTCTCTTCCAGGCCTTAAAATAGTAAATGCTGGCTAAAATGCTAAATGCTTAAAATGTTAATGGTACTACTTAAAAAAAAACTTCTTCTCCTTACCTTCACTCAGTGTAAAGGCAGTATTTCCTGCTTCTTGAAAGCATATGGAATTCTTATTCTGCTAGCATCACATGTATTGAGAAAAGACCTTCCCTGCGACTCATTTTGCAAAGGCAGCCCAATGCAAACCCTCACCTATGCCAATGCCAGAGGCTGGCAAAGGTCAAAGTTTTCTGGAGAAAACGGCCTTTAGAGGCTGTTCCAAACGGGCAGTGAACTACAGCAGCAGCAAGGAGCAGCTGAGGAATGCAAGGGAAACCACAGACGTGTTCCTGGAATCACAGCCCTGGCTCCTGCCAGCTCCTGGGACAACACAGCTTTCCGTTGCTTCTTGCCAAGAGGGAATTACGGAGGCTACAACCCAGTTCTGAAAGGGAAGAAGGAAGACATCACGCTAGCCCTTAAAACCAATCTTGCTTTAGTCTCTTGATGCTGAAGATAATTAATTTGCTTGAGGGCAGGTGAATGGTAGGAAGCAGCAGAGAAGGAAGATTGTCTCCTAATGGGTGGCCGTCTGCAGGAGATTGGACAAGACAGACAGACCCTTGGTAGAGCTGGAGGCAGAAAGGAGGCAGTGATGAAAGAACTGGGTGAAGACAGGAGGGATGGCTCCAAAAGCAGTGCCATCCTGTTGGATCTGAAGGATGGCACACAGGTTCATGAAGTAACAGCAGAAGAGCTCATCGCTCACCCCCACATCAAACCACTGCCTTCCTTTCCCTTCTCCCCAAAAACCCGGTGTTTTGGAAACCTCATTAAGCCAGGAGTGGGAAATGGCTTCCACTGCCCTGTCCCCAAAACCCATTGAGGGCAATTCCAATGGCTTTTGGTTCAAAACAGGCAGGCAGGCCACCAAGGCAGGCACAATCTAACTACAAAACCAGACCATTTCCCTCTCGGGGAATGGCGGCGCACAGAACTTGATAACCAAACTGGCCAAAAAACAAAACAAAAATGAGCAAAACAAAGTAAAAACCAAACCAATCAAAAAAACCCCCCCAAAACAGGCAGTTTAGCATTTTTAGAATAGACCATTTTTTGTCAAACATTCTTGGAGACAATTTACGATGACTGACATAATTGCTAAGCACGAAAGCCTAAAAAAACAGTTCCTTAGCTCCTAAATCATTTTTACGTAATCTCTGGACTCGTTTTAGAATATTTAATGCTATTCTTAATCCACAGAAACATCTGAATTCACAAAAGAACTGCTTCAGTCAGAAACGGCAAACTGAAGCATGCACAAAAGCAAAAATCTTCAGATCCAAAGACTGCATGTACTAAACAAATATACCCGTGGCTCTAAATAATATATATAAGTAATAGAGTAACAATTAGACTGGATATAAGAAATAACTGGAAGATTTGGAAGTAAAGTCATTCACAACTAATAAAACAACCTTTCCTCATTCTCACATTCTATGCAATATAGCCAGGGTTTTACTAGCTTCAGTTCATTATGTCGCTCTTTTAACTACAAATATATTTCACCATACTTAGTGAGTGGAAATTGTGAAGTAATTACTTAATAAATCTTTGACAGCACATAGTTAAATGCCAAATTACACCACTCTTCTGGCTTGTTTACAAGCCTAGACATTCACCTCCCCTTTCTGTTCTCTCTGAATACATCCCATCAAGAATTAGGTGTTACAATTTCTCTTTTTCAAAGTTATCCCATGCTTTTTTCAGGAGAAATAATCCTGAAATTATTTTATTAAGGAGCAGGTTACATAGGGCAGGTGTGGAATYATCCTCCTGAAAATTACTGAAGAGAGAGCGGTAAGTATTCCAGTAGAAACCCACAGRTGCAGTTGATGCTGCTCTGTGGTGGATGGATGCATTGAGGATACTCACCTGGACCAGCCCGTTTTCTACCATTTCTTCCCTTTGAAAATCTCTGGTGAGTTTGAAAATGAGATTAAAATATACTCTTTGTTGAAGAAGTGGGAACAATAATTCACTAGAGAAACAAAATACTCTTTTCTAGTTCAATTCCTCACGATAGCCCAGTCATACCAGTGCTGTAGAAACTCCAGCAGACCTTGAGTATCAGTATGTGTCTGAGAATCCTTCTTTCCACTGACTTCATTTTTAAACTTTGACTTTCTGTTTCCTTAAATAAGCTTTGTTCCCTAAATTGGTTTCCAAAATTGTCTGCCACGATAACAGACAATTTATCTCTACTATCAAGAGATAAACCAATGAGGGTCTTCCAACACGCGGCTTATCTCAAATGAGTTTTTACCTGCTTGTTTGCTCCAGCATTGCAAGTACTGTCACTGCAGAACAGAACGAAAATCCAAACAAGAAAAACAAAACACAGTGTTTATGTTTTATGAGGGGAGCTACAACCCTGTCAAACTTCASGTAGGCCTGAAGAAAGAGTGATGAAATTGGCTCTCTGTATCATTGACTTGTGTGTTTTCTCTAAGCCTGATGATGCTTCCTGGTCCTGTCAAAAGCCAAGAGAGCCAGGCTCTCCTAGAAGACCTTGAAAGCTAAATATTAGGGTACCGCCCCAATCACAGCACATTTAGGGTACCACCCCAATCTCAGCACTTTATGTGACATCTATCATGTAAGTTCATAATTATAACCATATTCCAGCAAGTGACAGGATATGCACCTTGTTGTAGAATTAAATGTATCTTCTCAAATGTACTGATATATGTTCACCATATAACAAAGATGCTCAGTTTTGACCGTACGCTCGCTACCCATATGGCCACATGTTAAAGGATGACAACCTGGTGAGGAAGAGGAAGATGTGGGACACTACAAACCCCCAAAGGGCCTGCAGGGTACACAGATGCAGCACAGTATGTGCACACTRATCACATTCCTAATACCAAAGTCTTACTCAATTGCTGTCTGAAAACTAACCTACTCCCACAGTGCATCTTWCCAACAAATAATATTAATTTATACTAGTGATTATTACTGGTTGTCAGACTGGATTATTGAAATATATGTTACATAAACAGTTAACACTGAAATTAGAGAAACTTCATAGAGTTTTTTAGTGTTATTCCTCAGAAATAATAGGTATCAGTAACACATAAATCAGTTGAGCCTGTTCAACCTGATCTCCTAAAATAGATCCTACGCTCACAATCATATCCATTTTTTTTCAGCCAGTCTTTGAAATGGCTTAAATGAATTCAGATTACTTTTCAATAAAATACAGATTCAGAGATCAGGACACACCAAAATTTCAAAATTACTGAAACAGAAAACCTTTCTAGAGTATCTGTTAAAAAATGTTTCTGCTGATTTAAAACCTAATTTTCATTTTTTTAGAAAGAAAGGAGGGAAGGAAGAATGAACCTGGTGAGTAATAAGGAGATTAGTTCTATAAAATTCATTTATTATTACTGCCTTCTTCTCTTATCCATGCAATTGAGACATCCATGTGTATCTTAGTGCTCCATTCCCAAACACCTGCATCTTCCTAAGGAAAATGAGATTTTAACACTGGAAAAAAAAAAGGAAGAAAAAAGAAGAAAAAAAGAAAACAAGCAGCAGCCAAAGATTTGAAAGACTTCATGTGCATCTCCTTTTTCACTTACATTTAAGACTAGTTAACTCTTTGATGAGCCAGCTTGTCTCATGATTTTTACCTGGAATCTAGATGTAAGAAACAATTTCCAAGCTGCAGTGCAAWGCTGAGCTAGAAGAAATAGCAGACATCTGTTATCTTCAAAGGAGATGTGGAATGAATAGAGAAGAAAATGTGACAAAGAAAGAGCCAGACCCTCTCTGCAGCCACTGCAATGGCCTGCGCAATAAAATAGGATATTACAAGGACCAGTTTCTCTGCAGAACCTTCAGCAGGAGCTCCTAAGGACAAACAACCAGAGAAGTGCTGAGATTAAAGGTGGTGGAAGGCCCAAGCAGCAAGCTAAGAGAACAAAGCTAATACAGCAATCTGCTATTGCAAGGAGGCTGGATTTCACCTTAGCCTAAGTGCCTGAGCTTTATTGCAAAGTTTCAACTCAGGCTGCAGAACACGGCTAGATGGCTGCATTAGTTAGACTTTCATCCTTCAAATGCCGTGAGCTGCTTTTTTACCACATTTCTTCCTCCCACTCCGAGTTGCTTTACCTCCAACATAGAGATCCCTGCTAATTCTCTAATAAAAGAAGTCAAATGTTGCTTTAAAACTCAGTGCAGAACTTTCTGGGATTACAGCATTAGTCTATACTACTCTGAGCCAGGCTTTGGGTTATTTTCTAATTGCCAGAAAACCTTCATTGTCTCCTCTCACATCAGATGAAGGATTC